CCCCCCCCCCCCATTGCCAGCCTGCTCACCCCAACTGCCCTCCCCTCCTGGCCTGATCGCCCCTAACCGCCTCTGCCTCGGCCCGGCCACCATGGCTTTGTCTGGAAGGACATTTGGAAGGTCTCCCGGTCTAATTAGCATATTACCCTTTTATTAGTATAGATTAGCCACTGGGTGAGGTACTGTCCTTGTCCTTCCCTCTTCCTTCACAGCCTGTCAGTCCCTGACTCCGTCCTTCCTGCCCTGCCTCTCTCCACCCTTCCCTTCTTCCCACCCACACATCAGGTCCAGCTCAGACCTCTCCCACCTGGGCCCCAGCCCCAGCCTTCTCCCCACCTCCTGCCTCAGCCTCACTTCATTACTCATCCCCTATGCAGGCTCGGGTCTCTTTCTCACTCCGAGTTAATTTTGTCCCTTCTCTGCTCAAGCCCTTTCTTGGGCACTTAGGAGTAAAGTTCATGATGGTGTCTAAAACCCTTCATGGGCTCTTGCCTACCTATCTTAATTTCACCACTCTGTAGCCTTCAATTCTTCCTGGCTTCATATAATTTTCTTTTCTTTAAAAAATTTTTAAAAATGTTTTTATTGATTTCAAAGAGGAAGGGAGAGGGAGAGGGAGGAAAACATTAGTACTGAGAGAGCATCATTGATTGGCTACCTCCTGCACACCCCACTGGGGATCGAGCCCTCAACCCCGGTACGTGCCCAGACCGGGAATTGAACCGTGACCTCCTGGTTCATAGGTTGATGCTCAACCACTGAGCCACGCTGGCCGGGCTCTTTTAGTTTTAATCCCAGCAGCACGGTGCTGCCAATGGCTCTCCACACAGGGAGGGGATCTTTCCCACCCCGTTTTCACACATATTTACTTCCTCTGCCTGCAGCATCCTCCTCAGGCCCTGCTTATTGTAGCCAACTTCACCCACCTTTCAAGACTGAACAGATGTCATGGATCTGGGAAGAAACCTCTAGCCTCCAAGCTGAGTCAGGTGCCTTTTTGGGGTGTGATTCTGTCCCACCCTTGCTCAAAACTCTCCCATGGAAACCTCTGTGGTGCTGAGACTGGTCTATATCTTGACCTGGGTCGGGTTTTAGTTTGGAAGGCTTACATATGCAAAAATTCATCCAGCTGATACTTAAGATTTGTCCATTTATCTGTATGTAAGTTACACCTCAATTAAGACATCAATAACCAAAAACAAGCAACAAAACCTCTCAAACCTCCCATCATCCTTGGGGAAAATGAACGCTCCACAGCCTGACATTGGAGGGCCTGTTTCTCTAAGCTTTATCTTTTAAGGTCTAGCTGTGGCAACTAGAAGATCACTATGTGTTTGTGGAGTGAAAAAATGGCACCTGGTCCCCTTCCTGGCTGTTTGCATGTAGCGGACGGACATCTGTGGTGTGTGCCTGGCCCACATCTCCTCCCTCTTTCTGCCAGGAGAGGCACTTGGTCTCCTTGCAGCGCGGGGTGATGATGCCAAACAGTCTGGCCAACAAGATATAAACACAGGTCTGCTGCTGGCTCTGGGAAGGCTACTGCTTTTCTTTATACAAAAGAAGGGCCACATCGCCTTCTGTCCGCAGAGACGATGTATGAAGCCACAATGTCCGCCATCCCCTGAGCACGAGAGGGGCCAGGAGGGTCACAGACTCAGCGCCCTAGCCAGAGGCTGTGGAGACTGAGCCGTGGGCCTCGTGCTGTTCTCCAGGCTTGTTTTGTGAGGACAATAAACCCCTAGCACTTACTCCATTATTGGACACGTTTTGCTGTTATCAAGAAATGTAGTAAAAACCATCACAAAGCCAAGAGACTTCACATAAAGACCCCATTCCGGGGCGTGGATCCTGGAGTACTGAACTGCATCTGGGGTCTTGATAACAGTGGCACAACAACAGGAATAACAGTAAAAAGAGTCCCAGGAATTCACTGAACTAGACGTTACTCTGAGGGGCGGGGAGCATGGCTCACACTGGGGGAGGGCCGAGGTAGCAGAGCTGGAGGTGGGGCCAGGTGGGGGGCGGGGGCTGGCCCAGCAGCAGGACGGAGAGCAGCAGCAGCAGCAGGAGACCCAGGACAGGCGCGGGAATCAGTGGATGCCGCCTGACCCTGCTGGGGTGGCAGGACAGTGCTTAGGGCAGGGCCCAGGGGAGCCTATGTGCCCCGATGACTGACCACCATTTCCTTTTGGTGATACCTTGGGGCTCACCTGAGCTGCTGGGGTTGGGGGTGCAGGGGGCACAGGCAGAAGTGGCTCCAGACTGGCCTCCTAACCGGAACCAGCTTCCTCTCCACAGGCACCAGCGCGTGCTGTAGGTCTGGCTGGGAGGGGCTGCTGGAGAGAGAGGAAGGCAGGGCAGTCACACTGGACATTGTCCCCAAGTTCCCTCCCAGTCCCTGGGGTCCCAGTACCTCTCAGGAGGGCTGCTTGGAATGTCTTCAGGGTGAGGGTCTCCCAGAAGGATGGAGAGATCAGCCTGGAAGGACAAAGGAGATGACAAACTTGGGCATGGGGTCCTTGGCAGAACTGACCCCATGGAAGGGGGTGGAACACAGTGAATGAACGGCTCCGTGCATGAACACTGAAATACACTGCCGGGTTGGGGTCCGAGCTCTGCCAGCTTCTGGCCGTGTGTCCTTTGGCACATCACCCACCTCTCCACACCCCACTTTCCCCACCTGCTGGACAGGGATGACGACAGTACCCACCTCACAGGCCTAAAGTGGAGACTGACTGAGTGAATTCAGGTTAAAAAAAAGTGAGCATGGGGCTCAGAACAGTGCCTGGCACATAGTGAGTGCTCGATAACTGTGTGAGCTACTCAATGTGATTATTTCCACTTCCATTGGATTCTGAAGTATCCAATGGCCATAGAGATACAGTAATAAATAACGAATAACAGAACACCAGTGCCAGCTACCACCTTCACCACGGCCACCTACTGTGTGCCTGCTCTGTGCCAGGCCTGGAGCCAGGCCCTTTCTGACATGATCCTTAACCCTCATCCCACCGAGAGCCGAGAGCCGGGTGAGGATCCTCACCACACCAGCTTGAGGAAGCGGAGGTGGGACCAGGCTCCACAGAGGGTGTGGCAGGAAGGAGGTGGGCTTTGCGGTCAGGCTGCTCAGAGAGACCCTGTGGGATGGTTGGACCCTGCAGGGTCCAGGTGCCTGGAACAGAACCTGGCACAGAGCCTGGCACACACTTGGGCTCTCACACCCTCAGCCGAGGACTGCAGGCTCCTCACTCACGTCACCACATTTCCTTCCCTCCCTTTCCTTGTCTGAGAATGGGGATGGTCACCTGCTGCTTGGAAAAGCAAAGGACCCGGTGTGTGTGGTGCTGGGCAGGGGGGTGCCGAGGCCGGCTGCGGAGGGCCCAGCCCCTTCCTGTGTGTGGGCGAGTGTGCGTGTGCATTTTCGCAATCCGGGGGTGTAGCCACGTCTGTGAGGCCGGTGGTGTGGCGGCTGCAGCCCTGTATGTGCTTGTGGGGGGGGTCCCCTGGGAACATTCTGGCCGCCCACTGGCCTGTAGGCCACCACCCACAGCACCATCCGCTCTCATTAGCTACAGCGAGGGCCTTGTTATCTCTTGGCCAAATGATTTTTCTGTCTGCTCAGGGGAAGTGAGGTGCAGGCGGGAGGTTGGAGCAGCTGTGATGACATCAGTCCCCTCCAAGGGCCCGGAGTGGATGGGCACTGGGGAGGGTGCGGGGACTGCTTACCGTGACGTGGATCTCCGCTTCCTCCTCTTCCTCTCTTCTGGGCAACCTGGGGCAACAACAATGTTCTTCCCTCTGCCTGGCTCCCATTTGCCCGTGGGGGGCTCAGGGGAATCTTTAAAGTTGGGGCCTTAAGGAGGATGGACCTGGATCTGTGACCTCAAAAAGGGTGCGAGGGTCTCTTCATCTCACTGGCTTTCTCAGGGGCTACTTTTCTAGGTGACGCCCCAGCGAGGAGCCAAGGCTTCCAGCTCTCACTCCCCAAAGCACCAGAGGCTCAGACCAGGGCCTGAGGAGACCTTGCCCCTGCTTCCTACCTGCTGGGTCGCGCCATTTTCAGAGCCTCAGTCTCACTGGCTCTTTTTTCAGGACTCAAACTCCAGAATCTGACTGTGTAAGGCCCACTCCCATCCTAGACCATTTCTCTTAGCGGGTATGAGCCCAGCCTCTGCCCTACCGAGGCTCGCAGGTGCCTGAAATGCCTCTTTAGAGACTCGGGTCTCAAGCTGCCAGCCTGGATAGCCCCTGGAGACCCAGATGTCCACATTCCTAGCCATCACCTTCGCTGGGAACAAGGGATTTGGCCCTCCAGTTTCAGACCCGACACCCTCAGGATACAGCTGTTTCCTCTAACAGCACCCCAAAAAGCATCCAGCCCCTCTCAAGGTTCAGGCCCTTAACCCTAGCCACTTCCAGGGCCACTGATTTCACTACCTCCCTCACTCCCATCTTCCCTGATCTGTGCATCACACCACCCCTGCCCCCCAGCTCAGATGTCCAGCCCCTGCCCCTGCTGCTGCTTAGCCCCTCCCCTTCTCCCTTCCACTTCTCGGTGACTGAGGGGAGGTCACATCTCTGGAGCCCCCATCCCTCCCAACCTCAGCTTTCCCAGACAGTCCAATTAGAGCTCATGGCAGGCAGCCTCATTAGTTGCTACAGCCAGGAGCTGAAAGAGGGGTGGGGGAGAGGGTGGCACCACAGGAAACCACAGGCCCCCAGGACAGGGCCCCAAGGAGGGTTCCTGCAGGCATCTAGTGCTGTTTCTATCCTCAAAGGCCTGCACACAAGCCTCGTAACAACCACAGGTCCACGGCACCATGCCAAAGGCACCGACCATCCTCTATCACAAAAGGACTGAGCTGGGATTTGAACCCCAGGTGTCTGACCCCAGAGCCCTCATGATTGCGCGACTGCTGGGGTGCTCCCCAGGGGCCCAATCTGGGTCTCATTTATCCCAGGTTCCCTAGAGGCCTTGGAGAGGTGTGTTCAGTGAGAGTGACCGGGTGACTGAGCTGCCCATCTTCCTGACAATTACCTTCTTTTATTAAGAGTCTCCTATACGAATACCACTCTTACAAGACCCCATTCGGGCATCGCCTCCCTCTCCCACGGGCGGGGTCAGGTGCCGGATGTCCTCCTGGGGCTCTGTGGGCCAGGGCTGTTTCCCCTGGGCCGGGAGTCACTGAGGGCAGGGCTGGATCTGACTCATGCTGGTCCACAGGCCCAGGGTCGCCTCAGCATGTGAGTGAGTGAATGAATGAATGAATGAATGAATGAGTGAGCGATGAGGCTCCAGCAGGGCTCTTAGGGTTCTTCTATTCCCTCTGTCTGAGAATCAGGAGGTGTCACCCCGAGGCAGAGGATGGGTTTGGAAGGAGCAGGCTTCTTACCACATTGACCGCTCCTTCCTTCCTTCATGCGGGTACGCTGGCTCTCCCTGGAAGTTCCTCTGTGGGAGGGGAAAAAAGGTTAGATCTCCGGGCTACCACCTCAAGAATTCACCATCTTCTTAAAAAACCTGCCTTCCTCCTGGGCCCCCTCCTTGAGGACAGCTCTACCCCCCTCACTGACACCCCCCGCCCCCAGGAGCAGAAACTGGAGCAGTTCTAGACCACATCAAGTCCCTTTCTTCTTCAGGACCCAGGAGTCCAGGTCCCCCAAACTTCTCACCTGGGCCCAAAAGGGGCTCAGTGGTCCCCTTTCAAACTCCATTCTCCTCCCAGGGTCCCAGTCATGGGTCATTTGTTCTTCCTCAGGACCAAGGTCCCTCTCTGTTTTTTCCAGAGACATCTCATCCTATGGCTTCAATCGACTTGACACTGTTTTCTAAGTGCATCCCTGAGCCAGGCCGGTGTGGCTCAGTGGTTGAGTGTTGGCCTATGAACCAGGAAGTCATAGTTTGATTCCTAGTCAGGGCACATACTTGGGTTGTGGGCTGGATCCCCAGTAGGGGGCCTGCAGGAGGCAGCCCATCAATGATCCTCTCTCATCATTGATGTTTCTGGCCCCTTATGGATCTGTCTCTCTCTTCCTCTCCCTTCCTCTCTGAAATCAATAAGGAAATATATTTTTTAAAAAATCAATGGAAAAATATCCTTGGGTGAGGATTAAAAAAAAAGATGAGTTGCCTCAGTTATTTAAAGTTATGTAATATTATTATTCAGGTTATTACAAAATTCATAAAACAATGGCTCCTTTTTGTATTTGTTAATCCTCATCTGAGGATATTTTTTTCTATTGATTTTTAGAGAGAGTGGAAGAGAGGGAGGGGAGAGGGACAGAGAGAGAGAGAGAGAGAGAGAGAGAAAGAAATATCCATGTGAGAGAGACACATCGACTGGTTGCCTCCTGCAGGCACCCCAAATGGGGCTGGGGATAAAGCCCGAAGGTATGTGTCCTTGATGGGGAAGTGAACCCAGGACCCTTTGGTCTGTGGGCCAACGCTCTAATATGGAAAAATATCCTTGGGTGAGGATTAAAAAAAAAGATGAGTTGCCTCAGTTATTTAAAGTTATGTAATATTATTATTCAGGTTATTACAAAATTCATAAAACAATGGCTCCTTTTTTTATTTGTTAATCCTCATCTGAGGATATTTTTTTCTATTGATTTTTAGAGAGAGTGGAAGAGAGGGAGGGGAGAGGGACAGAGAGAGAGAGAGAGAGAGAAAGAAATATCCATGTGAGGGAGACACATCGACTGGTTGCCTCCTGCAGGCACCCCAAATGGGGCTGGGGATAAAGCCTGAAGGTATGTGTCCTTGATGGGGAAGTGAACCCAGGATCCTTTGGTCTGTGGGCCAATGCTCTAACCACTGAACGCCACCAGCCAGGGCAATAATGGCTATTGCTGAGTTCAAGATTTCACAGTAGATTTCTTAAGGTAAACAGCTGCCTCCTGCACACCTCCCACTGGGGATGTGCCCGCAACCAAGGTACATGCCCCTGACCGGAATCGAACCTGGGACCTTTCAGTCCGCAGGCCGACGCTCTATCCTCTGAGCCAAATCGGTTTGGCTATTTCTTTATTTTATCTTATTTTTTAAGGATTTAGTAACTTAATTAAAATTTTTTTTTCAATTACAGTTTATTTTCAATTAAAGTTTACTTTCAATATTATTTTGTATTGGTTTCAGGGGTACAGCATAGTGTTTAGATACTCATGTACTTTACAGAGTGTCCCCCCTATATTTCCAATACCCACCTGGCCCCATACACAGTTTTTACACTATTATTGACTATATTCCCTATGCTGTACTTTACATCCCTTTGACTGTTTTGTAAATGTATGTAGTACCATTTTTTTAATTTTTAAAATTTTTTGTTTTAATCCTTACCTGAAGATATGTTTTTTATTGATTTGAAAGAGGAAGGGAGAGGGAGGGAGGCAGAGGTAGGAGGAAGGGAGGGAGGGAGGGAGGGAGAGAGAGAACATTGATGTGAGAAACATTAATTGGTTGCCTCTCATATGCACCTGCAACCTGTGTATGTGCCCTGACTGGGAATTGAACCTGAGACCCTTCAGTGTATCAGATGACGTTCCTAACAACTGAGCCACACCGGCCAGGGTGTAGTACCATTTCAAATAAGGTGATTTCTGACAGTGTTTTCTAAACAACCACCATCACATCACAAAGGAATTTGTGATGGCTTTCTTCATTTTTGCCTGCCGCACTAGCAGGCCAGTCCCTAAGCGGCAGGAATGGTGTCCTGTCTGGCTTGGGTTCCGTGTCCCTCAGTGAACAACTGCCTATTGAATGGGAGCAGGGCAGGTACATGGGGTCCCAGGCCCTTTTCCCAGTTCTGGACTCCACTGGTCTGGTCTCACGGCCCCTCCCGTGCTCACCTGTCCCGCAGCTGGGGCTTCAGGCAGAAACTCAGCTTCCTGGTCGCTCTCACTGGTGCCCTCCTCCCACTGCCACACCCCGCACAGAGGGCTGGAGAGATGGGTGGCTGCCTCTTCTTGTTTCTGGGAAAGTTGTTTCTGAGGTCAGGGAGGGCCAAGTAAAGGCACAATGCAGGTCAGAGATAGGGATGGAGATGGGCTGAGGTGTGTGTGGGGTGGGGTGGGGTGGAAGAAGCTGATATGAGGCTGGGGAGGGTGGAAGCAGGACCCAGGATGAGTTTGGTGCCAGGACCAAGAATTGGATAAGGAGAGGTTAGGACAGAGGGTCCTGAGGAGAAACGGGTTAGGGTGAGTCAGGGCTGGGTCAGAGTTTCAGCTCAAGGTGGGTTGGGTGTTCCCAGGGGTGCCAGACCCACCTGCTGAATGGCCTGGATCTCCACGCCCAGTGATGGGGGCAGCAGCTTGGTCCAGTCCACTCTTCTCCCCTGAGCTCCTTTGGGTAGCCTGGCCACACAGTCAGGAGGGGGACGGCCTCTGTGCCTGCCCACCACCTGTTGGACGCCTGTGCTGGGGTTGCCACCCTGCCCACCGCGGGGCTGGAGGCTGAGGTCCCTGCCCTTGGGCTCTCCTCCTGCCGCCTCCACCCCTCATGTTCTACTCACTCATCCGGCCCCTTGTGGGTCTGACTCAGCTGCTCCTCCAGGTGTGAGATTTCCAACCTCAGTTCCTGCAAAGGAGGGAGCGAGGGGCACCTGGTCTTCCCTTCTTCCCCACCCCCACCCCAGGCTCCTCTTCCAAGGTCAAGTCTACTCCCCTGACTTCTTTGGGTTCCTCAAGACACATATTGCCAAGGGACACGGGGGAGAAAGCAGTGACAAACTAAGGAGGCTGAGGAGAGACAGAGAGCAGCAGGAACCCAGAAGGTAACCTGCCAGCCAGGAAAACCAAGCAAAGGAAGGCGGAGACAGAGACACATGGAACAATAAAACACAATGGAAACAGCTCGAAGAGAGGCAAGAGACGCAGGAGGTGCAAGAGTCTCATAAAGACCAGGGACAGAGACAGGAGTCACCCTGGGAGGCGGACTAGATCCAGAGAGGGGCTGAGCAAGGACCTAAATACGCCAGGCAGACACACAGAGAGATAAGGAGGGGAGATGTGGTGAGAAGACACCCACAGAGAATAAAAGTGAACGGAAAACAGAGATACACAGAGAAATGAAAGAGAAAAAGTGAAAAGGCAGAGAGAGGGAAAGAGAGAGGGACATACATCAGACAGTGGAGATGGAAGTGAGAGGAGAAGACTTGATACAGAGTGACAGAAAGAGGCAGTAAATCCCGGAGATGGCAGGAGAAGTGGGAGAGCCACGAGCAGGGGGGGGCCGCCAAGGTTGGCGAGGGAGCCTGGGTTACCTGGGTTGTTGTCCTGTACTCCTCCAAGGTCTTGGCCAGACTCTCTGCGTGGCACGTGCGCTGGGAAAGCCCAAAGCAGATGAGACTGGGCCCAACCTCATTAAGACACTGAGGCTGAGTGGAGGTGTGCGAGTGTCGGGGAGGGCAGGGTGAGCTTGGGGGAAGGGCTAGGGCCTGAGGGACAGCACTGGGTTTGGAAAACAACAGAATATTTTAGATTTAAATGTAAAAGCCATATACAGATGTAGGATAAAGATTTGGGGGGCTCGTGCGGAGATCCTTAGGGCTGGGGAAGGGTCTAGGAGAACTGAAGAAGAAAGCAATAAAGAGAACATAGGCCCTGAGGCAGGCAAGAATGGATGTACTTGGACCACAGAACCCCTGGGACATCTGGGAATCTGAGAGGCATTTCCCAGCTCAGCTGCAGAACCACAAGGCGAGATCCCGCAGGGTCGTGCTTGTGACCTCAGTGGAAGCCTGTGACCTCTCTGGGTCATTTGCTTATCCCAGGATGAGAGCCAGACAGGCCTCCCTTTCCTGACTCAGGGCAGGAGATGGGCAGGTGCACATGGAAGCAAATGTCACTCGGCCCCCTTACCTCGGAGAGGTCCGTGTCTCGCTGGCAAATGAGGCGTTCACACTCATAGAGCTGCCGCTGCCAAGGAAGGAATCTGTCCATCTGTCCTGCCCACTCCCGAACCCCTCTCCTCAACCTCCCTCCAGGGCTCTGGACATCAGCTACATGGACAGGGATTTCAGCCAAGTTGCCTGGCAGCCCTGGGAACCTGACGGCTTGATGGAAGTTCCCAGCTGTCACCAGGCCTCGGTGGCTGAGACAGGAGATGGTAAATATGGCCCTGGGGGTGGTGGGAAGTTGTCAAGGTACTAGGGAGGGGCAGCACCTTCAAAGCATCCTTCTCCATGACCAGCTCCTCAGTCCTCCTCTTCACTCCATCCCGCTCTGCCAGTAGCTTTCCATTCTGGAAGGAGGAATGGCTGGTTATATTCACGTTAGCAAATGGCGATGCTAATACCCACAGTTGACATTTGCTGACACGTGATGTGCATCAGGCTTCAGGCTAAGCACTTTATGTTTTAGCCCATGAAACCCCTCCGACCAGCATATGGAATTTCAGCTTTGATTTCTCTGTGCATCAGTCCATCCCCCATCCGTAAAAATGACGATTAGAGCCTACTTCATGGGGCTGCTGTGAGGATTAAATCAGATACTTGGTAACATTTACTGAGCACCTTGCAGTAAATGAGTAAAAAACCTCATTTCTTATCCCCTATGTTAAAGATAAAAGCAACTCAGCTCTGGTGGGGTAGCTTAATTTGTTAGCGTGTCATCCCCATATGCTGAGATTGTGGGTTCCATCCCTGGTCAGGGCACATACAAGAAGCAACCACTGAAATGAATGCGTAAGTAAGTGGAATAACAAACTGATGTCTCTCTCTAAAAATCAATTAAAAAGAAACAAAAAAGCAACTCAGACACATAAAGGTTGAGTGACTTCCCCAGGTCTACAGATGGTTATTAATGCAAATACATGTTAATAACGCATTTAGAACAGCGGTCCTCAACTTTCCTAATGCCGCGACCCTTTAATACAGCTCCTCATGTTGTGGTGACCCCCAACCATAAAATTATTTTCGTTGCTACTTCATAACTGTAATTTTGCTACTGTTATGAATTGTAATGTAAATATCTGATATGCAGGATGTATTTTCATTGTGACAAATTGAACATAATTAAAGCATAGTGATTAATCACAAAAACAATATGTAATTATGTATGTGTTTTCCAATGGTCTTAGGCGACCCTTGTGAAAGGGTCATTCGACCCCCAAAGGGGTTGCGACCCACAGGTTAAGAACTGCTGATTAAGAACAATGCCTGATATATATCAAGGGTTTGGTAAATGTTATATTCAGAATAGTTTTATGTGGAATCTAAATTAAACAATATAAGTGAACAAACAAAACAGAAACAGATTTATAGTTACAGAGAACAGATTGATGGTTGCCAGAAGGGAGGGGGGTTTAGGGAACTGGGTGAAAAAGGTGAAGGAATTAGGTACAGATCGGTAGTTACAAAATAGTTATGGGAATGTAAGGTATGGCATAGGAAATATAGTCAATAATATTGTGATAATTATAAATGGTGCCAAGTAGGTACTGGAAATATCAGGGGACCACTTTTTAAAGCATATGATTGTCTAACCACTATGTATATACCTGAAATCAATACAAAATAATATTGAATGTAAACTGTAATTGAAAAAATGTTTACAAATATTTTTTAAACTTTGGATTATGAATTTTCAACACATACAAAAGTAAAAATAATAGTGTAATGAAACCCTTTACCAATCACCCAGCTTCAATAATTATATAGTTTCCCAGTTTGTTTCTTCTGTATCATGCAGGTCATTTGTTTTGTTTGGGGTTTAACCAGATTATTTTAAAGTAAATCCCAGGCATCATATTATTTCACGTTTAACTACTCCAGCATTTTAATCTCCTACTTAAGGACCCTACCTTTAGCAAAACCACAATACCTACCATTATCACCTTTAACAAAATTAATAATTCCTTAGTACCATCTCACACCAAGTTGTGCTCTTTTTAAATTTTTTTTTCCTCAAGTGTTTCATTTATTTTGCTTGAATGAGGATCCACAGGCTTTTGGTTGAAATGTCTCAATTCTTTTTAACTTGAGTGATCCTCCACTTTCCAATCCTGGCATTTTTTGGGTCCTTCTTTTGTGGAAGAAACCAGGTTATTTGTCTTGTGGAAATTGTGCACTTGGTTTATTGTGTTCTCCTTCTCCATGTCCCCGCATCTTCATTATTTCCTGTAAACTGGTGGGTAGGTCCAGGGCCTGGTCCAGACTTTGTTCGACTTTTTGGCAGGCAGATTTCATGGGTGTTGCGATGCAGGTCATATGCCGTTCAGGAAGAATGTAATGTCTGGCTGTCCTAACATAGTTTTAACTGCCATCATCCCCAATTTGAGAGAGGAAATTGAGGATCGGAGAGGTTAAAAAACTTGGCCAAGGTCACATGGTAAGTGGACTCAAACTCAAATCTGACTCCAAATTCTGTGCTTATAACCCCCGACTCTCCTCTGAGCCAGATGAAGCCTTGGGTGACAATGGGGAACCAGCTGCATCTCTCGTCCCAAGTTCATTACTAGAGGTGGAGACCATCGCAGAAGCTGATGATAACGTGAGGTAGACTCTGATGAGGACTAGGGCCTGGGCCTGCTGGGAGCCCTGATGAGGAGCTTCCTGAGGAGGCAGTGCTGGGGCAGAATCCTCAAGGGTGAAGAGAGTTATGCGGGGTGGGGGGGTGGGGGAGGGGACAAGTGGGCCAGGAGAAGGCAGTGGGCAGGGCTAGCTATGAAATAGGACTGAGAATAAAATGCCCCAAATTCCATTCTAGAGTTTCTGGGCAACAAAAACCTAGCAAGTTGCACTGAGTTTGATGAGGCATCATGGGGAGAGCATTTCTGGGCACGGAGGCAGTTGCTTTCCCTTGCCACAGCCCTCGTCCTGGTGCCCCTGGGGATACCAAGACCAGTTCCTCCTCCTCTCCAGCCCGGCTTCCCTGCAAGTCCTCCATCAGCTGCCCTCCTCCCTCTCAGTCCCAGCTAGCCTGGATGCCAGGTGAAGGGCGGAGGAAGGACGGAGGGGCCAGGAATGCTGTGTCAACATCTGTTCACCTGGTCGGGATTTGCAGGCTGGATCCTGGGCTACTCGGCAGGGAACCTGGTTACTCAGCCGCTCCTGCCTTCTTCTGCAGTAACCTGAGCCCTGCTCCATAGGTTCTCCTAGGGAAAGCTGAGTGTCCCTTACTCCAGCATTATTCTACTGTAACTTGAGAACTCGATCTATAGATGCTCTGTAGGCAGCAGCCAGCGGGGAGAAAGGTGGAGGGAGGGATCCAAGAATAGCTCCAGTTATCGAGCGCCTAGGATGTCCCAGGCGCAGCTCAAGGCACTTGATCTGGCAACAGGCCTTCTGGGCTGGGAAGAGCAGAGACTGCTGGCTGCCATTCACCCTGCTTATTCCTTCTTCTGCTTTCATTGAGGTCCTCTCTCCATGTGGGCAGGTGGGTCCCCAGCCTTAGCCCTGGAGGTGAATCAAGATGGAAATCTTGGCAGATTCAGGAGTCGGGAAGGTTAGCTGACCC